TTAATGATATTCCCATGTTATTCTGTTATTCCAATGATAACAACTTTTAACTCATTTTCACGATACCTCAAGAAGCACAGATTCATGCCGTCACGGTACACAGAAATACAATTTCATACCGCCTTGTTAACAGAACAAAATTGTTGCCACGACATCGATCGAACTTGGTTAGAGAAAAAACTGCATGAAGTCTTCATGTTTAACTCTGGGACTGTCAAGTCATTTTATGCCTCCATCTTTCTGTGATGAACTACCATCCTGTTTCCTTGAGGACGTTAGGATTGCACTGTGTCCTGAAAAAGGAATGTGACTTGAACTGCGCTGTGATTCTGACATACCTTTTTCCGCTTCTCATTAGTTGGATCGAATTTTTCGTCGATCTTTCAGCTTATCAGAAGAGGACGTCACTTAGAAAGCCTTCGTTCAGGGTTGCTCCATTCTTATCCACTGCGTTCCTGTTATTCCACGCAACCCTCTGCTCCTTCACTGCTCTACTACGCTTTCGAAAACGGCTCCTTTCATGCCGGAGAGTAACTTTTAAAAGCGACACACGAAAAACTATTTGTTCCTGCGTTTCAGTTTACAGTTTGAACCATTCTTGCAAACTCTGATGAATGACCTACGGTAAAAAGTTAGAAGACGCATTCATCACTTTTCCCGGTTTCTCTTGATCTACAAAAGCACTAGACGACGAGCGTTTCACAGCGACACTGATAATCTGATTTTGCATAAGAAGATGAATTCTGCTCAACAGTAAAATGATCAGTGTCACACCTACTGTGTCGAACAATTCATCAAACGCCAGTCGAACGCGATTGCTCTACTTCTATTCTCAATCAGAAACATTCCGACAAAGCATGCATGCTTAGACACGGTCCTGCATCGTTTCGTCGGCTTCTTACAGCTTTCTGTTGCAAAGTTCAACAAGCAAATAACATGCAGAACCGAAAGGAAGCCGTATGTCAGACACCAACCTCTGCTTTAAGTAGGAAATACAACAGATTCTTCAAAAGAACCACTTTGCTGACTGAAAATAATTAGCCGAGACTAAATAGAAAGAAATAGTTTTGCAACGAGTTTTTCCGTATCTATTCAAGTAACTGAATATCATAACGGACACAATACGAAATCCTGCCTTCGCTTTTCAGTCTGCCACCTAATGTTGAGAAATAATTTTGTATATTTTAAACGGGTAACAGCTGTTGTTCTCATCGCTACCAAAGGTTAGACAAATAGGAATCGTAAAGTGGTACAGGTTAATGTCTGAACTGTTCGAAATGGTATTTCAAACTTCTCTTAAGCAAGTTTGCAAGGTTTCCTCTCATCGTAAAACCCGAAGGTGTCGTCCAATCAGATTCTAATCTTGCAAACAACTACGCACCTAAATAAAGTATATGTTTATCCTTTTGAATACCACTTCGATGACGTGAAGTCATCTTCTCTTTATCGGTCCTGCAACCTTTGCTTTTCCAGAAACCCGCTATATTTTATCTGCTGGAGCAGACCAACCATCTCAGGCGGCATCAACCGGAATATCACAAGCAAACCGTTTTTTATTTCGATACGTGACTGAACATTTTATTTGCGCACCGACCGTAATCAAAAAAATAAGGTAAAATATCCTAAATAGCTTTATTACTTTCATACACTCTGCTTGTAGCCACTGGTAGAGGTATAAAAAAGTATAGTATCTATGATCATGAAAATCGACACTGTTGTTTGCTATCGCTACCAAAAGTTAGGAAAGCTAAATAAACAGCAAAGTAGTCCAGATTTAGGTTTGGCCGTTAGAAATCGTGTCTCAGATTGATATTAGGCCTCGTTCATCGCTGCGGCAATGGTCACATTCCTTGTAATCAGCAACTCTGCTTCAACGAGGTGTTAGCATGCCTTAAGTTGTTCTGCAATGCGTCTACGACCATTTTGTGGTTCCCACTCGAGAAAAGTTTTGAATACAATTCCGCTCCTGTTACGACCATATATTCCCTTCCTTTCAAACCAAGTCAAGCCAGACGTCAGTCTCTGAGTTAACCTCATAGGTTTCTCGGTCCGACGGGTCATCAGCACCCCATCGTTCGTGATCTGGTGCTACTGTCGCACTGTGAGAATGATTCGTACACAGAGATGCTGAAAACGGTCTGAACGAGCTTAATAACGCTCAAGGATAGTATATGTTTCGAAACAGCATCGCGAATACGGTTGCTTTCAAGATGGTGATCTTCGTGACCGTTCTTATAACTCGATTCTTTCATATGTCATACACCTCGCCATAATTCGCTCATGCCAGTTCGACACTCCGATTCGGTTCAGGATCAATGTCGCCACAGTTAGTCAACACAGTTCTAAAGTAGTTGAAATGGTTCGCCTCGCAAGTCGAAATACTATCCCATTCTTTGGCCTACACTCACATCAGCCAGTCTCATCATCTTCCTCTTCTCGGCGTCGACTTGCAGCTCCACCTCACAGCAGTGTTGCG